CCTAGGAGATGTCTGAGAGCAAGGGATAGAATTGGGAAGCACTCACTTACACATGACTGTATGAAAGCAGATGAGATCACCCTCACGAGTAGTCAAGTAGAGAAGCCAGCATCCTAGAGAGCAGCATTGTATTATGGAAGGGAGGAGAAGCAGCCTAGAAAGGACAGTGAGGTGAAGTGGTAAGAATGCAGAGATCAGTAAAGCACAGGAGCATTTGACAGACATGACCAAGGGATAGGGTAAGATTAAGTTGAAGACTATCTTTAGGTTTACTAACAAATGAGTTGTCAGTTACTTCTGTCATGATATTTAGCGGTGATGGGAGACATACCTAACTCTAATAGTTTAAAAAGCAAATGACTGATGAAGAACAAAGAAAACAGATAAATCTAAGAATGTGGATGTAAATGCTGGCTAAAACTGAAGAGAGAAGGGAGACATTTCTGACAGAGTTGGAAGCCCAGAAAGTACTGCATCAGGAGTGAGATGATAAGTAGCTGCACAGGCAGCAGAGCAGCCTTGTAATGTATTGTCGTGGAAGAAAGTCTTCCGACCTTAAATGAAGTCCATGTGGTGCAGTACTTCACATGCACATGACTGCAACCAACCATTGACAGTGAGCATGGAAGTTCTCTGTTCAAAATAGCACCCTTTGAACATTTTTGGTTATATTCTACTACTCCCCCACCCTCCACTGCTGCCTTCTGGAAGGGTCTGCACAGACTGGCAGACACAAATTAGCAAGATCATAATAACGATCCCGATAATAGAAAAGATAAATGCAACAGTTATTATGCAGCAGCGCTTCTCATTTGTAAAGATTTTATTTGTAATTATTTTGGGGGACAGGGGTTGCACACCTGAGTGCAGTGCCTTTAGAGGCAAGGACAGAGCAGTTGGATCCTACAGAACTGGAGTACTGACATAGGTGCTTAGAACTGAACTCTAGTTACAGAAACAGCACACACTTAACCACTGAGCCATCTCTTTGGCCTACAGTAGTACCCTTAAACTCCATAGTTATTGGATGCCATAGGTTTGGGGGGGAAAGTAGCCTGAGTTGAGCTTGCTGACCTGCACCTGTATTCTTAGAACTCAGATGAGAGGTTGAGGCAGATGGATCATGATCTTGTGAGACTAGTTCAAGAAATCAAGAAGTGGGAGCAGTCAAAATGATGCATTGTACTTACAAATGTGGATATAAGGCAGAAGGACTATCATTGACCAAAATGGGGCACTTAAGCTTTATTTAGATACTATAAATATTTAGCCATCTGATTGAGTGGCTATGTGTTAGGTACTGTTCCTGATACTAGAGATGGGAAAAATGAGTATAACTTACCTGCTTTTTGGCATTGAACATTCAGAAGTGTGGTGAGGTCCCAGAGCTCAGTTGGTAAGATTATTTGCTGCTCAGGCTTTAGGACATGAGTTCAGATTCCCAGAAACCACATAAACCACTAGCTTAGCTCCAGTTTCGGTGAGAGATATAGTCTCCAGAGAAAAAACCAAAAAAAAAAAAAAAGATAATGAACATCATGTTAGATACCATCATAACCTGAAAGGTGTGACCTGTTGTGTAAATGATAGCTGAGCATTTGTGGTTAGAATGTCTCATGACTTCAGGGGATGTAAAGAATGCTTCCCATATTGAATTGTCTGCACTTCCTTGGGTACCATGCTGTAAGGATTCTGTACAGCGTCTGTTCAGACAGAACTCTGTTTCCTTGGTGTATGTTACTGTAATTGAGTAATTTGCCTAGTCAAGGTCATACTTAAAGGATCGTTTGTGGAACATTTCAAACTTGTAAATACACAGGGTACATTAAGACGTAGTAATTATACTTTGTATATTGGTTTACAATTATGCTTTATATATTGGTTTTTGTTTTGTTTTTTGTTTTTGTTTTTTTTAACTTAGAATAGAGTTTATTCAGGGCATGAGCTGGGTAGTAGAGGCAGAGAGAGAGAGAGAGAGAGAGAGAGAGAGAGAGAGAGAGAGAGAGAGAGAGAGCGAGAGAGAGAGAGAGAGCTATATATTGGTTTATAATATAATATTTTACCTATGAAAAACCAACTTGATCATAAGAAGTATGTCCTCCTCCCCTTTTTGAGGGGTGGAGGCCAGAAGTGGAGATTAAATGTTAGCCGTTGTGCATTGGGAAGTAAGCCCTATACTACTGAGCTTCAGCTCCAGTCCCAGAAATAGTGTGTGCAGGAGGGCATGCAGACAGACAGACAGACACTGTAATGCTGTCTGGCCTGGAAATTGTTTTGTAGACCTGGCTGGCCTCCAGTTTCAAAGAGCTCTGGTTCCTAATGCTGAGATTAAAGTACTTGGCAGAAAGGATTTTTGAAGTTGACAAGAGGCATGAATTTTAGGGAGGTCAGGATGACTGCTTTGGGATAAGAACCAGAGTCTCCAAGTGTTCAGTGATGAGTACACATCTGGGGTCTTACTTGGGCCTTTTCCTTTACCATAGGTGCTGATTCAAAGGTGAACACACTGAACTTTCTGAAACCCTTCCTAACAAAATACATATTTTCCATTCAGCCTACTTCATCTTCAAGTTCAATTCTAAAATTTAACCAACCCACCAGTGAAGTATTTGGGCAGTGGGTGCAATATATCTCTTCATCTGTTCAGTTAAAATTTGTGTGTGTGTGTTCTTGTTTGTTTGTTTGGTTGGTTGGTTTTGGGGGTGTTTGGTTTTTTGTTTGTTTTTTGTTTTGTTTGAGACAAGGATTCACTGTAGAGCCTCGGCTTTTCTGGAACAAACTGTATAGACCAGGCTAGCCTTGAATTCAAAGAGACCTACCTACCTCCACCTCCTGAGGGCTGTTGTAAAAGGTGTGTGCTACTACATCCACTAACTTCTGAGGTTTTTTTTAAAAAAAAAATTACAATTTTTTACATAGGTTGAATTAGATGGTATAGGTAAACTAGTGATGATCTAAATTCGTGGGAGGATGTTGTGTATAGGTACTGTGCAGAGCTATGCCGTTTTTATGTAAGGGACTTGAGCATCTGTAGATTATAGCATATGGTGATAGAAAGGGGAGTGACCAAGCCAGCTCAGTCATTCAACAGGGTTTCAAGAGAAGGAGCAAGAATTGAAAAGAAAAAGACAATTAAACAACATTATAACATGACTTCAGCCAGTTCTGCAGCTGAAGTACACCTATTTTTCTCCAGCCTGCTTTTATTCCATTTTAAATATGTGTAAAGAATAAGGTCAGTTCTTGGTCAAGGAACTAGGCAATAAAAACAGTCAAGGAACAAACAAGACAATAAACAAAGTCCCTTGAACACTGTTTCTAGGGGCTTATATTATCCCAAATGTAAATATTCATATCTGAGCCTACTTCCTTGTCTTAGCCCAAAGTCAAATTCTTGTCTGAGCCTACTTCCATGTCCTGGCCCAATGTCGAATTCTTGCTGAGTTTCTAGAAGCAGCCCTAAAAGCTCTCCACAGGATTCCTGAAATCAACTCCTGTGGATACTGAAGGATGACTGTCTTTGTGTTTTAGCCATGGGTGCTCCTAAGGAGTCTAGGAGTTCACAATGGAAGTTGAGATTCAAGTTTGGATACAAGAGTCGATTCAGGAGTTGTTAGTTGATAAAAGTGTAGTATTTCTTACTTGGTGATTTTTACTGTTTTCCCAAATGTTTAAAGTGTTACAAGTACAATTATAAGGTAAGCACTTTTATTTTACACCTGATTTGTGTTTCTTGACATGCTGTATCCTGGTAGTACCACTCAGCTCAGTGAGTAAGGGAGACAGTGGCTTACATGGTGAAGAGTTCTGTGGCATGAACTGTAGTTAGGGTTTTAAGTATTAACTTATCCTTATGTCAGATCTCTGAGGTAGAACACTCTTGTACGTTGATGTTTTCTTTCCAGCCTATGCACATGATGAGTCAGACCTGGAGACAGAGGTACTTCAGGATAAAGTCAGCTCATACAAACAGTTTTGTCACATTCCTTCCTAGTTTCCCTAGTAATGAAAGAAAGCTAAGCTAGTTTATACCCAAGACATAGTCTAAGAAATAAAACAGCAGAAGCATAAGAAAAAATACAGTTAAAAAATTCTGTTTGTAGTAATGACAGAGAGAGAGAGAGAGAGAGAGAGAGAGAGAGAGATAGAGAGATAGAGAGAGAGAATTTGTTGATTTTGCATTTAAACCCACTTAGGTCAGGAGTGATGATGCTATCTTCCTGTAACACAAGTACTTAGGATGTTGAAGCAGGAGGATTGTGAGTTTGAGGCCAGCTGAGTTATATAGTGAGCTTTAGACCAGCCTTTGCTACATATACATAGTAGCAAGGCCCTGCTACAAAAGAATAAAGTGAGGAAACATTCAACTCTGTTTGCATGCTAAAAAATAAAATTTGTCTTTAGTAAGGACATGTTTGCTTAATTGTTTCTTAATGAGAAATATCTATAATATTTAATTCTTCTGCTACTTATTTTTTATTCCTGTATTTTCTTCTTTGGTTTGGTTTTTTTGAGACAGATTTTCTCTGTATAGCCCTGGCTGTCTTAGAACTAGATCTGTAGACTAAGCTGGCCTTGAACATAGCAATCTGCCTGCATCTGCTTACTAGCACTGAAATTAAAGATGTGCACCACCACCACCTTTGTTCCTGTATTTTCTTGCCATATGCACTATGTTGTTGAATGGAAATTGTAATAAATAGTAAGGAGGGTTTATGTTTATATGCTTGTATATAATCACCCAGGGATCAGTATTTCAGAAATATCAAGAGTCCTCACAGGATTTTAGTCAGGTGGTTATGTTTATATAGAATCCCAGCAGCTGGGTAAATATTGTATCATTAAGCCCTTTGCTTTTTGTGTATTGTTCAAACAAACAAACAAACAAACAAAAAACCCTAACATTTTAAAGCTTTAAAATGTCCGTGTGGATTTTTTTTCACCATTATTTTACAAACAGAAAACATTACAATGCTTTTTTTTTTTTTGTCTTTTTTTAGGTCAGCAGCAAGGACAGGATGGAGTGAAAGTCCAGCAGGCTACTATAGCTCCTGTAACGGTGGCAGTTGGAGGGATTGCTAATGCGACAATAGGTGCTGTTAGTCCTGACCAACTCACACAAGTGCATTTGCAGCAAGGCCAGCAGACCTCTGATGCAGAGGTGCAACCTGGCAAGAGGCTCCGAAGAGTTGCCTGCTCGTGTCCTAACTGTAGGGAAGGAGAAGGAAGGTAACTGCTGTTTTCACCCTGGCTCTCTGGAATTAAAGCAGTCGTGGCCACTTCCTCTAAGCACTGGAGCCTCCTGAGCTTTCTCTGTCAGAAGCTGGAATGCAGTGTTACACAGGAGATTAAGTTGGGCTGTTTGAGGCACAGTCCTCTGCTTTGTGTTGCATAATATTTCAGTAAATGAATTTCCCCTTTCACTTATTAGGTAAAAGCTTTGAACACCTCTTGATTTCAGACTGACTCCTGTGCCATGACGTTTACCTGTTTGTCATATATACAGTTCAGTAGCTTGGAATACACTCACAAGTCACACAGATGTCACCGCAGTCTGTTTTAAGCCACTTTGTCATCATCAGAAAGGCCTGGCCCCCAAACTCCTCACCTCTACTCAACTGATGTCTGTGTTTATAGGTTTTCCTGTCCTGGACATTTCATACAAATGGAATCATACATTCATCATGTATTTGAATTTTTGTGATGGCTTCTAATTAATGCTTCATTTCTTCTGTGGACAAGTAATATTCCATTGTATGGAATAGTGTGTGAGTGTGTGTGTGTGTGTGTGTGTGTATCTCTATCTCTATCTATATATATGAGAGAGAGAGAGAGAGAGAGAGAGAGAGAGAGAGAGAGAGAGAGAGAGAGAGAGAGAGA